TCTAGTTTTGCGAAAAGCATCTGTAACTTTTGTTTTCAGCATATCAAAGACGATTATACGGACTTTGAAACGCATCAAAATGTTTTACCGGAGCTATCATATGTCAGGAAAACCGAAGCAGGAAGCAAACCATGCTTTAATCAACGTCACGACCTGTTTTACGACTTCGGAAGAAAAAAGAGTCGGGTCTTTCAAGCGCAATTTATTTTTTTAGAACATAATATTTTCCATTTCTCCACGATATGGACTAAAATGCAAGGCATTTTCAAATCGAAAAAATATCATATCTCTTAGATAGGGGACAAACATATTTTGGATGCAAACTCCATTTTATCCTGATAATAATGTTTCATTGTTCGCTGTCCCATTTAATTGATGGTGTTGTATCATCCTAAATATTCTAGTTTTGCGAAAAGCATTTGTACCTTTTGTTTTCAGCACATCAAAGACGATTATACGGACTTTGAAACGCATCAAAATGTTTTACCGGAACCATAATATGTCAGGAAAACCCAAGCATGAAGCAAACCATGCTTTAATCAACGTCACGACGTGTTTTACGAATTCGGAAGAGAAAAGAGTGGGATCTTTCAAGCCCTTTTTTTTTAGAAAATAATATTTTCCATTTCTCTCCACGATATTGACTAACTGATGCAAGGCATTTTCAAATCAAAAATATCATATCTCTTAGATAGGCGACAAAAATATTTTGGATGCAAACTCCATTTTATCCTGATAATAATGTTTCATTGTTCGCTGTCCCATTTAATTGATGGTGTTGTATCATCCTAATTATTCTAGTTTTGCGAAAAGCATTTGTACCTTTTGTTTTCAGCACATCAAAGACGATTATACGGACTTTGAAACGCATCAAAATGTTTTACCGGAACCATCATAAGTCAGGAAAACCCAAGCATGAAGCAAACCATGCTTTAATCAACGTCTCGACGTGTTTTACGACTTCGGAAGAGAAAAGAGTCGGGTGTTTCAAGCGGAATTTTTTTTTTTAGAACATAATATTTTCCATTTCTCTCCACGATATTGACTGACTGATGCAAAGCATTTGCAAATCAAAAAAATATCATATCTCTTAGATAGGGGACAAACATATTTTGGAAGCAAACTCCATTTTATCCTGATAATAATGTTTCATTGTTCGCTGTCCCATTTAATTGATGGTGTTGTATCATCCTAAATATTCTAGTTTTGAGAAAAGCATCTGTAACTTTTGTTATTTTCATATCAAAGACGATTATACGGACTTTGAAAGGCATCAAAATGTTTTACCGGAACCATCATATGTCAGGAAAACCCAAGCAGGAAGCAAACCGTGCTTTAATCAATGTCACGACCTTTTTTACGACTTCGGAAGTAAAAAGAGTCGGGTCTTTCAAGCGCAATTTATTTTTTTAGAACATAATATTTTCAATTTCTCTCCACGATATGGACTAACTGATGCAAGGCATTTTCAAATCGAAAAAATATCATATCTCTTAGATAGGGGACAAACATATTTTGGATGCAAACCCATTTTATATTGATAATAACGTTTCATTGTTCGCTGTCCCATTTAATTGATGGTGTTGTATCATCCTAAATATTCTTGTTTTGCAAAAACCATCTGTATCTTTTGTTTTCAGCATATCAAAGACGATTATACGGACTTTGAAACGCATCAAAATGTTTTACCGGAACCATCATCAGTCAGGAAAACCCAAGCATGAAGCAAACCATGCTTTAATCAACATCTCGACGTGTTTTACGACTTCGGAAGAGAAAAGAGTCGGGTGTTTCCAGCGGAATTTTTTTTTTTAGAACATAATATTTTCCATTTCTCTCCACGATATTGACTGACTGATGCAAAGCATTTGCAAATCAAAAAAATATCATATCTCTTAGATAGGGGACAAAAATATTTTGGAAGCAAACTCCATTTTATCCTGATAATAATGTTTCATTGTTCGCTGTCCCATTTAATTGATGGTGTTGTATCATCCTAAATATTCTAGTTTTGAGAAAAGCATCTGTAACTTTTGTTTTTTTCATATCAAAGACGATTATACGGACTTTGAAACGCATCAAAATGTTTTACCGGAACCATCATATGTCAGGAAAACCCAAGCAGGAAGCAAACCGTGCTTTAATCAATGTCACGACCTGTTTTACGACTTCGGAAGTAAAAAGAGTCGGGTCTTTCAAGCGCAATTTATTTTTTTAGAACATAATATTTTCAATTTCTCTCCACGATATGGACTAACTGATGCAAGGCATTTTCCAATCGAAAAATATCATATCTCTTATATAGGGGACAAAAATATTTTGGATGCAAACTCCATTTTGTCCTGATAATAATGTTTCATTGTTTGCTGTCCCATTTAATTTATGGTGTTCTATAATCCTAAATATTCTAGTTTTGCGAAAAGCATCTGTAACTTTTGTTTTCAGCATATCAAAGACGATTATACGGACTTTGAAACGCATCAAAATGTTTTACCGGAGCTATCATATGTCAGGAAAACCGAAGCAGGAAGCAAACCATGCTTTAATCAACGTCACGACCTGTTTTACGACTTCGGAAGAAAAAAGAGTCGGGTCTTTCAAGCGCAATTTATTTTTTTAGAACATAATATTTTCCATTTCTCTCCACGATATGGACTAACTAATGCAAGGCATTTTCAAATCGAAAAAATATCATATCTCTTAGATAGGGGACAAACATATTTTGGATGCAAACTCCATTTTATCCTGATAATAATGTTTCATTGTTCGCTGTCCCATTTAATTGATGGTGTTGTATCATCCTAAATATTCTAGTTTTGCGAAAAGAATTTGTACCTTTTGTTTTCAGCACATCAAAGACGATTATACGGACTTTGAAACGCATCAAAATGTTTTACCGGAACCATAATATGTCAGGAAAACCCAAGCATGAAGCAAACCATGCTTTAATCAACGTCACGACGTGTTTTACGAATTCGGAAGAGAAAAGAGTGGGATCTTTCAAGCCCTTTTTTTTTAGAAAATAATATTTTCCATTTCTCTCCACGATATTGACTAACTGATGCAAGGCATTTTCAAATCAAAAATATATCATGTCTCTTAGATAGGCGACAAAAATATTTTGGATGCAAACTCCATTTTATCCTGATAATAATGTTTCATTGTTCGCTGTCCCATTTAATTGATGGTGTTGTATCATCCTAAATATTCTAGTTTTGCGAAAAGCATTTGTACCTTTTGTTTTCAGCATATAAAGACGATTATACGGACTTTGAAACGCATCAAAATGTTTTACTGGAACCATAATATGTCAGGAAAACCCAAGCATGAAGCAAACCATGCTTTAATCAACGTCTTGACGTGTTTTACGACTTCGGAAGAGAAAAGAGTCGTGTGTTTCAAGCGCGATTTATTTTTTTAGAACATAATATTTTCCATTTCTCTCCACGATATTGACTAATTGATGCAAGGCATTTTCAAATCAAAAAAATATCATATCTCTTAGATAGGGAACAAAAATATTTTGGATGCAAACTCCATTTTATCCTGATAATAATGTTTCATTGTTCGCTGTCCCATTTATATGATGGTGTTGTATCATCTTAAATATTCTAGTTTTGCGAAAAGCATCTGTAACTTTTGTTTTCAGCATATCAAACACGATTATACGGACTTTAAAACGCATCAAAATGTTTACTTGAACCATCATATGTCAGGAAAACCCAAGCATGAAGCAAACCATGCTTTAATCAACGTCACGACGTGTTTTACGACTTCGGAAGAGAAAAGAGTCGGGTGTTTCAAGCGCAATTTATTTTTTTAGGACATAATATTTTGTATTTCTCTCCAGGATATTGACTAGCTGATGCAAGGCATTTTCAAATCGAAAAAATATCATATCTCTTAGATAGGGGACAAAAATATTTTGGATACAAACTCAGTTTTATCCTGATAATAATGTTTCATTGTTTGCTGTCCCATTTAATTTATGGTGTTGTATCATCCTAACTAGAAATACATGCATGCAGTAACCCCTCGCCGGTTCTTAATGCGATAACATAATTTCCAAAAATCGGTGAAAAATAAATTTAATTCAAGAAATATATAAATACAAACTATGTTACAAATTTACAATAATACAAAATTTACAGAATAATAAAAATAACAATTTACATATAATTTAAAACAATTAAAAAATTTAATCAATAACAATAGCCCCGTTTACATTACAGTCAATTTATCGGCACGGCACGGCTAAAATTGGTACCCGTACCCAATTTTATTAGTGTTTAGGCTACGAAAGCAAAGGCCGATCACAGATGAAATGGGCACCCATTTTAGCCGTGCCGTGCCGTGCCATTAATAAATCGAGTGTAGTGTAAACGGGACTAATATAACGTAAACGTGAGAACAACACGAGGCTACGTTGACATACAGTGATTTATGAGCAGCTAGTTGAAAACAATATTGTCTCGTCTTTAATGTACTGATAGCTCATTGTTTTTTTAAATCTTATTCAACATTTGTATACCGGGCAAGATGTTCAACGGGGAGATTTCAATTACACTGTATATCAACGTAGCCTAATCTGCACGTTTGAGAAGTTCAAGCAAATCAAGCATTGAACTTCTCAAACGTGCAGTTTGTAAACTGCATTGTGGGTTTTGCCCCAGTTTTTTGTGCCCCCTGTCGCTGGGGGCACACGACTTTCGTGTGGCCTCTTCGGCCACATAACCAACAAACAGCCCCTATAAATAAAAAATGTTATTACATAGCTTTGAGTTAACTGTGAATTGGTGATAGAACTGCAGAATAATTACTCGGGTCACCAGTTGGAGAAAGAAATAGCCTAAAACATTATTGTCATATATTGCGATGGGCAGCGTCTATACTACCATTACTATCTAAGAATAGCCCTGAAGCCATGAATATTGTTTGTGAACCAGTGACGTAACAACTGACTATACATTACGTGACAATCATAAGGTACTGTATACATACGTGCGTCGCATGTCGCCGCTCGGTGGCCACGAAGGCCACATTTGTAACACCGCCCTATTATCAAGAAATGATATCAAGAAATAATTGGTTTGCAGGCTACCAAAAATCTTGAGTTAACTGCATGACCATTATCAATTAAACTTTACTAACCTCTCATTTGTCCATGCAACACTAAAAAGACAAAATGTCATATTGAGCATCCTGACAATGCAATATTTGTTGAGTAGCATCAATGGGAAAAACCGGAAACAATTGTTGTGGATATAATGAATCATACAGTACCTCTGCCTCTTCCCCCGAACCGCCCAGGGCGTGGGTCATTATCTAAAATAAATAAATAAAACAACTTGGTTGACATATTGCATAAATCCATGTAATGATAGGAGGCAACCTTTTTAATTTTAGAGTTTTAAATTGATGACAAAAAACTTGAACATGCATCATCATCACTTAATACATAAAATTAGTAATATAGAACAAAGTAGCTGATACATATATACTGTCAAGGTTTGCATTAACTTGCAAGGCTTGAGAGTTGAAAATATAAGTTAGTTCATTTCAATATATATTAAGATGCAATTGCTCTACTATACCTTTCTAATCATAAAATGTTAAACAATATAGGCAGTATATACAAAATTTCAAAGAACATATCATTTTTGTGCATATTCAATCAGCATACCAGGCCTTTCTTGAGGTGCATGACCATTGTCAATTGAACTTTACTAACCTCTAACTTGTCCATGTAACACTAAAAAAACAAAATGTCATATTGAGCATCCTCATAATGCGATATTTTTTGAGTAGCATCCAATGACAAAAACTGGAAACAATTGTTGTGGATATAATGAATCATACAGTACCTCGGCCTCTTCCCCCGAACCACCCAGGGCGTGGGTCATTATCTAAAATAAATAAATAAATAAAACAAACTTGGTTGACATATTGCATAAATCCATGCAATGATAGGAGGCAACCTTTTTAATTTTAGAGTTTTAAATTGTTGACAAAAAACTTGACCATGCATCATCATCACTAATTAATACATAAACTAAATAATACTGAACAAAGTAGATGATATATACCATTAAAATTTGCATTAACTTGCAAGGCTTGAGAATTGAAAATATAAGTTAGTTCATTTCAATATATATCATCATGCAATTGCTTCACTATACATTTATAAATGTTAAACAATATAGGCAGTATGTACAAAATTTCAAAGAACATATCATTTTTGTGCATATTCAATAAGCATACCAGGCCTTTCTTGAGGTGGAGGATTCACTAGATTAAATGAAAGTATTTCAGTTGTGCAGGGGAAAGTATGCATCAATAAGTCACATCAATCACGAAACTTACTGGGTTGCTCATCTGGCCCCTGGGCCAGGTCAGGGACTGCCTCAAGTATTTCTATAGTGAAAGAAAATTTGCATGTGTTATCCTTTTAGTGCTATGTGAAAAGACATACAAATTAACTAACTGTGACAAAAATAGTATTTCAAATAGTTTTTTAATCATATTTACCATCATCATTATCAATATCAATGTCTAAAATCCAACAAATAATTGTTAAATTAGATTTTTGAACATTGGAAATGATCAACGACATTTTAATCAGTTGCTAATTTGTACATTCAGAGTGAAAGATATATAAATATGTGCCTATATACATACCAAGTACGAGTTCATCCTCATTTATATTCTCCACTAAAGTAGTTGGTAAAGTAGATGTACATATTAATACAATAATTGCACTACCAACATCATGAAAAAAAGTGCTTTGTTGAAATAATTTTGCATCTTACTTCTTCGTCTTCTTTAGATCTTTAGAGTATATATAAATATGCCATCAACATAAAAAATATATTGAGCAAAAAAAGTATGTAAAAACAACAGCACCATATAGCGTACTCGAGGCAAGCTCAAAAATCATAAAATACAAATATTAGTTTTGAAAAAAATATATCTATTGTAATATAAAAAAACTTACATGTTTTAGATTTTTTTCAAAACTTCTTTTAATCTAAAATATAAGAAAAAATATAATATTTTTATTATTTCCTAAAGGTAAAGCGCATCAGCCATCAGCGTTGCAAAAATCGACAAATTTATAAATGCTTTAAAAACAGTTTTTTCAGTTTCTTCCAAAAATGTTTCTCCTCAAATTTGTAAATTAAAATGTCAACAAGCGAGAAGTGTAGTATAATTTATTGGGCGAACTTCGAAATGTTCAATATTTTATAAAGTTTTTTATTATGAATATGACTTACCGCAGTCCAAACAGTGACACAGAACAGGACGATATTTTCGCGCGCTTTTTGAAATTTATGCTATACGTGGATTTTGCGTGAACTCTTTTTCAGTCACCAGGTAAATCGCGTAAACGCCTACACGCACGAATTATAAAGTAAAGAGTTTTGAACAGTGAAACGGTTGATTGTTTATATTGTATCTTACTTGATTGATGTTCTAATGTTTTTTAGTAAAACGAACAAACTTTAATAATGTAAATATCTGTACATGTCAACAGCCACCCTCAAAAACATAATACGTGAGATTATGTCTAGTAACAGGCAATGACACATGTTTACATGATAAATTGCCCTCCTCAAAAACACAATAGAGGAAATGTCTGTAACAATTTTTTAACAAATTCATTTCCAAAATTGTGTCTAGTAACAGGCAAGTCTTTCCTCGAAAGCACATTGGTGCCCAGTATCATTGAACAATATATATGTAACAACACAAACTTACAGCACAATCCATCCACCAGATTTTCAATGCTTATGCCTCTGCTTCTTTTCTGCAAGCACACGAAGTCGTCGTTCTGCTTCTTGTCGCTTCTTCAAATTTTTATTCCTACCAATGACTTTCAGACGATCAAATGTCATAGGTTCAAACACAATATCATGAATTGATCTTACCCTGGATGTTGCCACAAATGTGCAGCCAGCAACTCTCTCCCCTTTACCTAAATCAACAACAGCCTTGGTTAGTGTCTGTCCTTGGGACTTGTGTATCGTCATTGCATACCTCAGCCGCAAGGGCAATTGTTGTCTTGACAAATACTTTCCATCCGCCATCCACTCAAACAGTCTTGGAGGCACAGGTATACACTTTGAACATTCTTGTAGAAATGCAGGGCCAGAATATGCCGGAAAATGAACCAGTACTGCAATCGGTAGATTTGGTGGACCCACATTCTCCGCAAACCAAAATTGCTCAATAGTTCCAAAAGAGCCATTGCAAAGACCAACTTCTGCCCAAAGGTTACATGTCAGCATCACTTCTGCTCTGGTTGACAAAAAGAGAACAGCTTCCAAACCACCTGCTTCATCAGAGGTTGCCGCACTTGCACCCCGACCAGAATGCCTTGCTTGAATTTTGACCAATGGTTGTCCAATCTCTAGCAACTTTTCATAATTATATTCCGCGACACTTTTTTTATCAAAGTACAGCCGAATAGCATCACTAAATCGATCCATTGAAACGTTAGGCCTGGAGTGCTGTATTAATAGTCTCCAGTCCATCTCGGTAACTTGTCCATCTCTCAGTCTCATCAATAGCGATCTGAATGCAACTACTTCTGGGTCTTCACCAATCTGTCGCATGACCTGCTCTAAAATGACTACATGATCAAATGTCAAATACATACTGTGACCATGGTCACTGATTACGGATCCATTACCTGCAATGTACATTGGCCTATCGCCTACAGGAGGTAATTGGCCAAAATCCCCCATTAGGATAATCGACATGCCACCAAATGGGACATCCTCTTTCCCTGTACCTGCACGTAGTCTGTTGTCAAGCCATGAAAGCATCTTATGTCCAATCATTGACATTTCATCAATAATGAAAAACCTCTTACCTTCCAATCTGAGCTGCAATCTCTGTAAGGAATCGCCCTATAATTCTCTGTATTCCCGAATCGGAAGTTGAGCTGCGGAATGCAAAGTTTGACCACCAATACTGAATGCAGCAATTCCAGTGGTTGCTGTGACAATACATTGGTCTTGCAATACTTGCTTTAGGGCACTAATTAAATATGTCTTACCTGTGCCAGCAGTACCACTTACAATCATATGTAGTGGTTCACATTCATCATTAGCCATGGATGCAGTGATAATGTCAAATGCCAGTCGCTGTTTGTCATTCAAGGTCCCTGGGTCAACCACCACTTGTTGGTCACCTGTGTGATACTGCATACCTTGCTCCTCTGCATCCCTTCTCTGTTTAGAAATCCATCCAGGAGATTCTCTCAACAAATCCCCTGGCACGCCTCTTGCTGCTTCGAACCAATCCACTGCTTCGTTATTTGCCATTTGATTTCCTGCATCCTCATAATGTTGGTTGAGTCTACATAACAACATCCAATCCTCAATTTGCTCTTCCTCATTAGGTTGATCCTGTTCGTCATCGCTTTCATCACTACTTTCATCAGTTCCATATGTTTCATCTGTCTGTGCAGCATGGACCATCTCTGTTTCAATAGAATACCCAAATACATTGTCTCTGGCAAAATCTGTCTCAAGAAATGAAGCATATGTGTTAATAAACATATCATCAGTTTCCTCCATATTGTCCCATGCATTTGATGACTTATCTTCCCATGGTTTAAACTTAATGAGTTGATACTTGCAGTATTTTCCAAAGGTAGGGCTGCCAGGATTGGCTGTAACCTTTGGAAATGTCCTGACAATATAAGGATTCACTCGTTTTGTCAACTCACCTCTGACTCTTGTGAACTGAGATGCATACTGCATCAAATTCAACTGAGATAACCCCCTATACCTACTCTCCACTTTTGTCCGCTCTCCATAATCTTGAAGAACAGAATTCTGAAGTACTTCCTCTTGTGGATTTTCTGCATCAAGGATCACTTTTCTACTGTTTTCTAAAGAAACAGTAACAAAACTATACGTACAGCCTACCAAAGGCAAACTGAGTAACATATGGGCAGTCTCCTGAGCAGCCATGTCTCGATCACCAGCAACTTGGATCATTGCTTTCTTGATTGCAGAAGACACTTGGTCATCATTCTGTAATGAAGATACAGACAACTTCAGTATGTCAGAAGCAGATTTTGATCGTGGTTCCCCTTTTGCTGCATACTTGGCCATATATCTTGCACATGCCTTTTCATCCACAATTACCTGTAAATCCACATTGGCCCGCCAATTCTCAAGCATGACCCTGTTGTGTGAATTCAGCCTCTCATCATTTCTCTTGGTTTGCAACTCTGAGTGTACAGATTTATTTTTCTTACCTCGTACCTCATAAATCAGCGCAGTTTCCTCTTGTAATGGTTTTGGGAACCCAAATCTGCACTCTGCAGGCAGGTCAACCCTCTTCTTTTTCAGGCAATACGCTGGACTGCATCTGGTGTGCCTCTCTACTGAATTTACTAACCTGTGATAATCAACATCATGATTATCAACTGATGTGGCTTTCACCGCAGAAGGGTGTGGATCTGGTACTGTCCAGTTCTCATCAGGCAGATCATCATTAACTGTGGTCACAAGCCAGTCAACATAACTTTAAAAGGGATAAAAAGTAACAAATTGGTTAATACCTAATTTGTATATTTTTCATATTTGCTGTTTACACTCCCAATTCCTTAACAATAGGAATTACCAATTCCTGAAGAAAATATACGGAATTTTGTTTTGTTTTGTGAATGTATGTGGAAGTTGTATTTTTAGACATTTGCAACATTGCAGCATTTGTATAGTATGCTAACACTGATGCTAACTGTATAGTAGTGGGCTAAAAGTCTGGAAAAAAGTCTTATAAATGTTCCACAGCACACATTGGACACAATCTTTGCAATCTATATGCATGGTGAGTGTAATTTAAACATACCATTAATACTTGATGATTTAAACTTACCTAATTAGCTTTCTCTCCGCATCTTGACCCTCTCTGACAATATCATGGCAAGAGAATTCAAAATCATCAGGGGACATTTCATTTTCTTTCTCTTTCTCAAGCACTGCTTTACATGCACGTTTACGTAATAACCGAATATCTGGATCATTCTTTAATTTAGCACATCCATGAGCATGTATACTTCCTCTGGCCTGATATTCAAACCTATACCAAAACCATTCAGCATCCAAGACACCTTGAAGCCAATGTTGATAAACTCCTGTAGCCTTTGCATGAAGAACCAATCTGTCAGGTGCGGATTGTCTATCACTGCTTGTGCTCTCTCTGTTCTTGATGCACCCTCATTACTTTGCAACAGTCTTGCAAGTCGGCCAATGGCTGTCAGCTGCACTAAAGGTAAAGAAAAGGTAGGGCAACCTTTTTTGTTCAATCAGGGCCAAGAGTTCTTGCAGTCTCTGATACCAATACTGATTTGTTCCTTGAATTTTTGAAACATAACGTTGCAAACGATTTACCATTTGATTTGCACCCATAGAGTTTACCATTGTTTTCAGCTCCTCCATAGTCATGTTTGCATCCGCTGGATGTTGCCGCAGTAAATGTTAGCTTGTGACAACAGCTGATGCCTCTGCTTCATATTCAACGCCCAGTATGGGAACCGGGGATGTGAGGCAAACCTCCATTCAAACTTACCATTTGGCAGCCTCTCTGCAAACTTCATCAGGTGTTTGAATGCCTCTGCCAAACTTACCTCATGCTGCCTGACTCTGTTTGTCGGGTCACCTCTCCCATGGGGAAATAGTGTTGGAAATGCCATGCTTGCCAAACCATCTGTTTTAAATTCATTAACAGCATTACCTTCTGTAGATGGCCAGTCCAAAGGGTCAACCTCATTCACTGCATCTTGGATAGCTGCACCATCCTTTCTTTGTCTTTGACGCATAGGAATAAATGATGTACTGCTATTTCCTAAAACTAATTCTTCAACTGTTGCATTAGCACTCATTTCAGGTTCTTGTGGGGCCCCCTCATTTTCTGCATGAACTAAAAGTTCCTGGTCATCAATAACATACCTTAGCTCCTCAGGGATACCATTCTCTGGTAGACTTTGGATAACATCCCTGTCAATTTCAATGTCTTTGAAAAATGGATTGTTTGTTTTCAACCACAATATAGCTTCAAACACCTTGTGTCGACGAACTGTGAAATCTTTATGTGTCTGATCAGCACCACGTCTCCGCACAATCATAACAGGCAAGTCAGCCACTTGTGCAGGTAACCTATTCAAGAAACTTTGAATATCCTGTGGTAAGTTTAGTACGTGGCCTTTATAACCCCTTTGCCCACCATATTTTCTGTAGACTTGCATGATAGGGCAAACCCTTGAAATCAGCATTTCCTCTACTTGACATGTGTCAAACCTCTCAACTGCTCAGGAACAATACCTGGGTCCATGTCATTGCCAGCACTGAAATTTTTCGGGGATTTCTTGTCTCTTTGACAGCGGTAACAAACAAAGGGATCTGCTGCCAAGTTTTGCCTTGTTGGCCAAGCCTCTTTACAAATTGTACACTGGCGATGCTCTAAATGCTCTTGATCTAAATGAAAGCTGTGCATCTCATTCTGAACAAATACCTGCTCATGCAATGGGTTGTCAACATCTTGCCAGCCACCTTCATGTAAATATTGGTCTGAACTACTGGTGAGGACCTCATCTCTAGCTACTGTTATTGCATTTTCATGCCTTACCTCAGAATTTTGTGGCGGTACCTGTTGCATTTCATTACTATTACCTGTCTCCAAAAGACTTACCGCTCGTTGTCTCATTCTTTCAAGTCTTTTTTGTCTTTTTCCCTTACTTTCATGTTGCCTTCTTTCTCTGGCATTAGCTCTATTATGTTCTCTTTGCATCTCCCGTTTCTCCTCAGTACTTTCGTCAGTTCTTCGTCTGTAAGCAGCTCTTCGCATCCTAAGACGACGTTCTTTTTGTGTTGGCGTTTCTTGCAGCATCTTTTGTCGCCTTTCAGCTCTTAGCTCATTACCTTTTTTTCCTGTACTTGTTTCAGCTCTTCTTTTATAGGCATCCCTCTTCTTTGCCAGCCGATACTGTCTTTCCTCCGGTGTTTCACCAACTAACACAGCTCGTCTTTTTTCCCTCTGTCTTGCACGCCTATCCTCATACGTTTCTCCCTTCTTTTTCGTCTCCTGCTTTCTAATGCTGTTATTGTCCGACATTTCCGTGGAAATTGTCTTTCAGTGTTGTTTTTTTTTCAAATATAAAGCAATTGTTCACAATACTGTAAAGGTTTTTGTAATTTGCTTTTGTGAAAGAAATTAAATTCAAATTATAATGACAGTTAATTTACTCACGTAATTTTGTTTAAAAAAATTTAGGCCTTAGCCAATCATAAGCTAGTTAGTTACCAGCTCAAACTCGTCTTAAACTCACGCATGCGCATAACTTACAAAAACGCCCAACGTCCATGGCATAATGGCGGACAACTTTCATTTCGCATTTGCATTCCCGGGCGTAATTCCTAATCTCCGGGCGGAATTAGTACCCTCGCCCGGTGCTTCGCACCGGCTCGGGGAATATTCTAGTTTTGCGAAAATTATCTGTAACTTTTGTTTTCAGCATATCAAAGACGATTATACGGACTTTGAAACGCATCAAAATGTTTTACCGGAACTATCATATGTCAGGAAAACCGAAGCAGGAAGCAAACCATGCTTTAATCAACGTCACGACCTGTTTTACGACTTCGGAAGAAAAAAGAGTCGGGTCTTTCAAGCGCAATTTATTTTTTTAGAACATAATATTTTCCATTTCTCTCCACGATATGGACTAACTAATGCAAGGCATTTTCAAATCGAAAAAATATCATATCTCTTAGATAGGGGACAAACATATTTTGGATGCAAACTCCATTTTATCCTGATAATAATCACTGGACGAAAAACTGGATTTACGACTATAGTATATCTAAAGCAAACACGACGTAAATATCATATTCAGCAATGTTTGGACATATTTGTGCACAATCAAATTCTGTTTTTTCCGCATATTTACACACCACGTAAACACGCGGAAGACCGTTTTTATCGTATTGTTTACACCTAGTGTAAAGTTTTATGAAACATTCATATTCACTACTTATTTTCTCCAAAGCAAATAACGCAGTAAAAATGACATTTACAGCCATATTAAATATTGTCAAATACAACATTAGCACATAAAGTAAAAATAGCGTAAACCTTTGTAAAAATCGTAATCAACAACGTTTGCTCATATTTTGTTAAAAATCAAATTTGGTATTTTCACCATATTTCACACTAAGTAAATAAGGGGGAAGTTTGTTTTTGCGAAGACCGAAAAGATGAAATAAAGATGTACATTTGCAACATATTTTCTCAGTAGCAAATTGGATAGTAATACTATACTTACATAAATAGCGTAAATATAAAGAAATACAATATTGCACATGAAGTAAATATAACGTAAACGTCGTTAAATATCCCATTTAGTTGGATTTACTCCCGAGTTTTATACGAATTTTGCGTTTTATTTGTTTTGCTTGAAAATATACATAATGCTATATTTACTTGCCATTGGCATCATATTTTGAATATTATCAAACACGACGTTTGCTATTGTATATTTGTCTTAAATTGCCACCGAGGTGAACAAATAATTTGCTCACGTTTTGCTTTCCTTGCAAATACGTGTGGTGAAATATTTCGTAAATACAACATTTCTACACATGGTTAAAATAAAGCAAAGATCATGTACATACTGCATTTGCTTATATGGAAAAAATGCGGTCAGAAATTTGACATGCAATTTCCTAGTTTCAATAATCATGATCACAACTACATAGCTAATACTGTAATGTATCAATATTTATTTCTATAATGAAAGAAAGTGTTTGTTGCACATTTAAGAGTAATGTTTACAAATTACAATTAAGCTTACAATTCAACTAACACAAAACCAAATCGATTAAAGATTAAAAACGTGTGGTCAATAATTCACCTATGATTATGTACAAAAAAGAAGAAAAATACGAGAAATAATGTTTCAAAAAAAATTTCATTGTTTGATTGCCCACTCTGGGGCATCCAAAGGCGCAAGACGGGTTGAATTGTTTCCCTTCACCCTCTCATAGGTCATGCACACCCCTTTTCTGCCTCTCTTCTTGCCAATTTTTTTGTCCAACGTCACCATCAGTTTGTTGGCCTCATCACTTCTCCATGGTAATCGCTGTATGGAGAATTTCCTTGCTTTGATTGATGTTCGGTATCCGAAGAGCTATCACCAGAGGACGCATCCTCTCGTTCAGATGCCTCATCTTCGGATACCGAGTATTCTGATGACATGTAGTCGTTGGTCATTATTTTTTCATATTTTTCTTTTTCCGATATCGATGTTGACATCTGCAAAGTACTCTTGCGTAGCTTTCGTTTCTATAAATAATCACATTAATTTTAATAATTTCGTAGGAAGCGAGGATAATTTAGGAAATTGGATGGAGATTTGTTTAGTCATTTTTTCAACATGCTTTTCACTGAAAACTTCCGCTCGTATTTGGGAACTTAGCAACGAAGTTCGCGAACATTCAGACGAATGTTGTACAAATTCGACCTACGAAATACAAGTGAAACTTACCACTGCGTAGATCTAAATTTTTTAAACGAAGACAAGTTTAAGGGGAATTTAGATGAATATATGACAAGACTACCTTGTAAGTGTTCGTAACTTTATATACTAGCGAACGGCTTTACGGAAAGGTTGTAACTAAAATATTAAACAAGGAACAACATATAATAATGAAATTTCGTTAGGAGCCAAAAGTTTGCTTCTTTACAAATGCACACAGGAGGAGGTTCTCTGTAAAGATTCTCCAAATTGGATGTGTCTCAGCCTCAAAGAGTACAAGCAGGTAAAGATAGATCTTATTTAATACAACTATAATATTAAAAACTGTACCATGCAAACTGCAAAATCTACCAGATACAATGAGACATATCAATGGAAACTACTATACAAGTATATGAGAGGATTGTATATGTATGTATGTTGCTACAGAATGTTTTTCTTTCAATGCTGAACACAGAAAACTCCTAACACAGAATAAAGAACACAGCAGAAGCTGAGCAGCAGGCTGAGACTCTTTATATTTCTTCCTTAATTTACATATGTAATTCGAAGAACTGTACGAATCTTGTGTTCGCAGGGTGAAGCCCTCGGTATAAGGGAGAACTTGTAGACTGAAATTGATATTTCACACTTACTGTATTGATTCTACTTCTATTTCTTTGCTTTTTGAGATACTGATCACTCAGGTTTTGCTCCTTGGTCTTCTCGGCACGTTTTCTTGTTTTGAAATAACAATGCATTGCCGCTACATAATAAATGTGAATAAATGCATGTAAACACAAGTACTGTACATGTGCAATGGCTTTAAAAGCATGCTGGAGCATGTTAAAATGGTACTAGCACAGCAAATGTACATACATGTACTCTGTTTCAGTTTTAAAGATGTATACTGTATAGATTGAGTTTTTAGTTTTTAAAAGTAGTAAATATGCATAATGAACTTTCTTCTGTGCTGATCTTGCATATAAAGTAGCCAAATCTGAGCACTACTTTTGTCACTCACCCAAAAAAATTATCACAATGCATAAATTAAGTCTTTTGGCATGGCGGCACAATGTTACTCTTAATGTAACTGAAAACTATTTGTACAGTACTGGTACCTCTAATAACTTGACTTGGTGCATCATTGACACTTTTAATTGAGGCCATGATTAGACGGTTAACATTTTGATTTTCTACTGCTCCAAAACTTTATAGGCAGATAAATAGAAAAAACTATCAAAATACTGTCCATAATACAGAATATAACGCTAGTACCTGTGACAATTACTTGGGTTGCATGCAAAGTTCATTTAAAACCACAATGTAAGTTTTCTTGCCATCAAGATATTTCAAATATTGCATATTGTTTGACACAGAAATATGACTTAGTGATATCACAACGCATATTGAGTTTTTAGAAAGAATGCCATTCCTTGCCAAACATGTACTAATGACCGAAAGAGCTGTTATAACTTATCAAAGATCATAAATTTGAGACAGTGACAACTTTATCAAGCAGTTTACTGCAAGCTAGTTGTCAATAATGACATTATCGCCTGTGCTCTAAAAGCTCACTCACAGTTAGTGAGTGTGACTGACACATCACAGTGCTGCTGATCAGTGATGCAGTCCTTCCTGAATCAATGTCTGAGTGAGCTTTTAGAATGCAGGCATATTATGCAGTGTTATCTCATTTAAGTCAAATCTGCATGCCAAATAATTTGCGATATCCAAAGGAGTTTCATGCGAGTTTAAATTAACTTTGCGATGCAACTATGAAAATATTTGTTACAGGCACTTAATAGAGTAATAAATGAAATACTAACCCATGATACATATGTCATGTATACTGGTGATAGCCTACCAGCAGTCTAAAGTTTTGCAATTTGCCAGCTAATGATTATCAAGAGACATGCACTGGCAAATTTGCTGGTAACTGGCAGTTACCTACCACTGACACAGAATAGGGAATAAGCCAAAAGGCCATTCTAGCTAGTAGTTGGTTCATTAGTTTGTTTCAGAGCATGTACTATAACAACAGTGCAAAAAGTGTAATAAACTGCTCTGATATATTAAGAAATATGGGCTCTTTAATATACCATCTGATCAATGCAGACAAAAGATCAAAAAGTTACATAATGGCAACTTACCTTTTAGATAAATCCCAGGATAGTGAATTTCCATCATCATCAGCAATGTTTCTTACAACATCACGAACACAAGCCTAATTGATAGTAATTAGCAAGTAATTATGCTACTACAGTTTTGATACATACAATATTTGGGGGGGGGTTGTAGTTGTAAGGTAGGACTTTAGGTAAATCTCATTACAGATGTACTTTGATTACAACCCTATGCACCCTCCTATAAATCCACCACTGTTAAGAGATGCTATATATATCTGGAACTGAACCTGCACTTGTAACAAAGCTGATTTCATTCTGTGTTTACATGAGGTGGTCTAACTTGCAAAAACAAACCACTGCTTGCTGATATAAATTGTATACATTAATTTTCCCAGGACTCCAATGCAAATTTAGCACTCTTGAATGATTCTGACATGTGGGTCATAACTGTGAAAGCTGCTTATAAAGGAGCCAAATTCAGGTTTGTGAAAAGTATACATATACTATCTATAGCTGTGAGCCTGTGGTTTGCATTTGCAAGGCTGCTTGACTAGATCTAATAAAATCAGCTTGGCAAAGTGCACTAACCAGCCTCTGAAAAGGGTGGATGGGCCAGGAGATCAAAGGGAAAGCTATATTCCACCTTTATTCTCTCCCTAAATAATAGATGAAAGAGTACCATAAAATAGTAAAATTGATAGGTAATATACCGTTAATTCTAAGGGCAATCTTGTTCTTCTTTTTTCAGGTTTTAATCCCCCTTCCGAGCCTTTTTCCTCAATTGACTTCAACAGTCTCTGGTTGAAGGTGCTTTGCTGCCATAAATATCCTCATTTGTCTTAAAATCTCATCTTCCCTTGGCCTTGAAGAGCCCGTTGTCGTTCCTAGCAGTCTTCATCAATTTCTGGCAATAGATTTCGCCTTGTAAAACTATTGCCAGAACTACTCAAACTTGGAGTACTTTCTATGCGCACGGTGTTGCGAACGCTGGATACCGTCGTTGGAATCGTTGTCGTTTCAAGTCCAAGATCAGGACTTATGGAGTTGTCTTCGGGAGGCATAGGTATCTGAGGAGTTGTTGGTGCGTTTGGGATCATGTCAGAAAAGCGCCTTGTGTCCTGACTGACATTTTCCTCCGAAATATTCGAGTCTGTCGTTGTAGGGCTAGGCGAACATGATGTCCTCGCTGATCTCGATGAACTAGACGCTGTGTTCTTATTACTTTTCTCTGCAAGTTTCTTTCCATACAAATGTACGCGATTCCGCCGGTTTGGTGGTAGTCGCCCCATAGCACAAAATACGTTTTCGATGTAAATAAATCGCGTAAAATTCAATGTACTTTACACAATGTACGTGTGTCGTTGAATAATTCATGGCAAGTTAGCGCCAAAATTTCAAATCCGATATCCTTGCTCCCAAATCATGAACTTTGGTCGGTCAGGGAGTTGCGACGTGAATGACACGTGAAAGTCATATGAACATTAAATCTCAAATTTTGATTATCATTATGCTTGCGGGCGGACGGGTATTAGCTTTATTCGATATCGATATATTTTAAGCTTCCAATCAATATTTGATCCCATGAGTGAAAAAAGAAAGTACTGTGGACATTGTCAAGAGTTTGTTACGCTAAGAACATATCGTACGCACGAAAAGCTATTTTTTATCAAAGAAACAGGTGTTTGGAAAACATGTGTCGTTTCTTCGGATGAAGAAGATGAACACTCCATTCGAGAGCATATTAATGATAGTTCCCAAGACGAATGTGAAGGAAAGTTCCCTAAAGACAAAGGAGACGGCGTTGGTTCGGATTGCTTTCATGGTAAGCCCTGCAGTGACATTTTTACATAAATAATAGAAAATATTAACTACAAATATCATGGCTTATAAAATATATAAGGTACAGCCATTAAGGGGACATTGTGTCCCCTCAACTTTTCTTTAAAGAGCATTTTTTAGCGAAAACAATAGGATATGTGCTTTTAGATTAGTGTCCCCTACTCCCTATTAAATATTTGAAGCTGTTCATGTACCCACAGGCCTAATTTAGCAATAGGGCAGTTTTTTATTATTATATGATATTGTTGTTTATAAATTTTGCCAATTTCTGCAGATATTTGGAGTTGAAATGAGGTATTTTTATGTTTAGTATGGGTCAGAAGGAAGGTATTTGTTCATTTGGATTAGGGTGGACTATTAAAGGCAATCAGGTTACAGCATGGCAGTTTCTTCAAATAACAGCATAACAAATAACAATTAACTGCCTCAGATATACAGTTGATAGGCCAATTGTCATATCTATATATAGGCAGTTGATGTACAACCAATTTTCCTTTCCTAGGACTATGGTGACTGTATCATCAGACTAAATAGAGTCACAACACTGCTAGACAAACACCATAACATTACTTTTATATAATTGTATACACTTGATGTTTGCAGGCATAAATGTGTGTTTTTGGCCTTACTAGGGTGGACATATACACTGAGTGGGGGGGGTATATTTAAGGAGGGGGCTTATAATATTCACCCAATTTGCCAAACAGTTTTCTTACAACTGGCCTATGATGATCAGGATTGCTTGAGAACTTTGATGCATCAGGGTTTTGGACGTAGTTGGCCTGGATCCAGGCTCGGTTCCCCTGCCCTTAACTATGTGATCCTGGTATATGCAACGTCAAAAGGAAAACCTCAGTGGCCATGGACATATTTCAAAAGACGAAGTATTAGACCTGGTGATCTCAAACATTAGGTATAACACAAGTAGTAAAGATCAAAAAGGTTTGAGCACCACAAAATGTATTTGAAAATGTGTCCAAAGTTAATTTTTACCCGTGTACTATTTAAACAAGGCAGTACAATTTGTATATTTAACCCATTAGCTGGTATTACTCAGTAGGTGCAGTCGATGTAGTCTTCTTAACCCATTTTCTGGTAGTCTTCCCTTATCGAGTAAAATTTTCTAACCCTAGACAGACTGTACATGCAATAATATCATATCCATGTTTTTGTAGTATCCGATTGTCAATCCAGTGTTTGTTCAGATGATGATGACTCGTCAGATACAGAGTGGTTGTATAAAGAGCGTGTATTTCCAATTAACCCAGAAATTTGGGAGATTTCTGAAGAGGATATCAATGTTGACCTTGAGAGAAACTCTATACCACATGTTTCCAACGATCTTAAAGGTAATGCATCTAATCCAGTAAAGAATATTTTGCGTTGGGCACTTGTATTTTTGTCTATATGGGCTGCCCATTGCAAAATTTCAGAAACTGCACTGGAGTTGCTATTGTCATTTCTTCATCGTTGGTTTACTGTTTTGGGGACAATCTTTCCACCGTTTGCTGTTTTTATATCTTTTCCAACTACTATATCATCGCTACGTACATATCTTGGCATCGAAAAAGACAGCTTTACCAAATACGTTGTCTGTAACAAATGTTCCAGTTTATATTCATTTCACGACTGCTACGAGTTAAAGTATGGCAAAAAAGTGACCAAAAAATGTCAGTTTATTTCATTTCCTCATCATCGCCAAGTTCACCGCAGGCAGCGTTGTAACGAGCCGCTATTAAGAGAAGTTGTGTTAAAGAACGGAAAGTGCCATTTGTACCCATTCAAAATATTTTGCTATAAAAGTATATCGGAAACACTGAAGAATATGATAAGCAGAAATGGATTTCGCCAGAAGTGTGAACTGTGGAGAAGTAGAGAAGTTCCTAATGGTTTTCTAGCTGATGTTTTTGATGGACGTGTTTGGCGAGAGTGGCAATTCGTTGAAGGTAAACCTTTCTTAGCTGCCCCTGATAACTATGCTTTGATGCTTAACGTGGACTGGTTTCAGCCATTCAAACATTCCGTCTACAGCGTTGGGGCCATGTATTTGGTTATAATGAACTTACCCAGGAGCGACAGATTTAAGCCTGAAAATGTCCTGTTGGTAGGTCTGATTCCAGGTCCTAAAGAACCATCGTTGAACATAAATACGTACCTCAAGCCCATGGTGACAGAACTAAATTTGTTATGGACGGACGGTATAAATATTAACTCTGAAATTTGCATTCGTGCTGCCTTATTGTGTATAGCGTGCGATCTACCTGCCGTTCGAAAAGTGTGTGGATTTACTGGTCATGGGGCCCGCAATGGATGCTCCAAGTGCAAGAAAGCATTTCTTGGGGTAGTAGGGAAAATGGATTTTTCTGGGTTTGAACCTTCCCCGCCTAGAAAGAATGCTGAGCATCGACAACAAGCTCAAGAAGTGCTTAACCAGACAAGTATGACCGATCAAGCTAAAGCTGAACAGCGTTATGGCACAAGGTTCACGGAGCTTATGATGTTGCCTTATTTTGATTGCGTACGGTATCATGTTGTCGATCCAATGCACAACCTGTTTCTGGGAACTTCCAAGCATTTAATGAAGAATATTTGGTTGCAAGGCGAAACACCACTTATTGAAAGGAAGGATCTTATGAACATCCAGAAAAAGTTGGATACTATCAAAGCACCGTCATCTATTGGTAGAATGCCTAAGAAAATCGAAAATAGTTATGGCGGATTTACCGCTGATCAGTGGAAAACGTGGACAATTCTCTTTTCAGTGTTTAGTCTTTGGAATGTATTACCAGATGAGCATCTCAAATTATGGCATGATTTTGTTATGGCTTGCATCTTGTATTGTGCTCCTGTCATCACAGAAGGAAGAGCAGAATTGGGACACTCGCACATTTTAAAATTCTGCAAGGGCTTTGAAAATCTTTATGGAAAAGAGAAGGTCACGCCAAACATGCATATGCACACCCACATTCTCGACTGCATTTTGGATTACGGACCTGTATATTCGTTTTGGCTATTCAGTTTTGAGCGGTACAATGGTCTTTTGGGCGAAATTGTTACCAATCAGAGGTCAGTAGAAGTACAGTTAATGAGAAAGTTTACGTCCGAACAGTTCGTAAGAAACTTGGAGCGGCCAGTTCAATTTGGTGATTCGTTTTTACCTATATTTGAAAAACTAAATATTAAGAACACTGGAACGCTTGCCTCTGAGCTGGAAGACATGAAAACAAAAGAAGTGATAGAGACTAGTATGCTTGCCATTGGTCCTGTCCGAAAGAACGACTCACGATGGAGAATCGATGAAAGGAAGACTGTGTATGAACTGCGTTGTCCCTATTCCTTAGAAAGCTTCGACGCAGAGGATCTTGCCTTAATCACAAGAGTGTATATGGAAATATTTGATGGACTAAACGTAGAATCAGTTACCACACACTTTAATCGTTATGCTGGTGTCTTTTTCGCGGGGGAATATTTTGGGTCTCTGAACTCCCGGGGAGAGAGATCATGTTACATAATGGCTAGATGGTGCAGTCTTGGTGGGGTCATTGATAAAGCGGGTACGGATCTTAGACCAGGTGTTATTGACTATATTCTTGAGCAGAGTATAGAGGTTAATGATAATCGCGTGAAATGTATACTTGCGGCCGTAAGATGGTTTTCAGTACATCCCCAAAGACATAAATTGGGATCCCCAACTGAAGTATGGTGCAGAAATGTCTGGGAGTTAGATGGCTGTGCAAGTTTTATTCCAGTGCAAAGGATCTTTTGTAGGTTTGTCCCTGTTTATGATGTTGTTGACGGAGAGAGAGTTTTAATTGTGTGCCCAGTTCCGCGCAAGTTTCAGTGTTGACCGGATTTGCCAGAACATCTCCATTAAAACGTCGAATTTGACTATACATTTAACCAGTTGAAATGCTCACCATTGCATGCAAAATTCGCGCAATGCCCAATAAGGTTATTCAAATAAATTGTATATATATATAATTAGAAATCGCTTTAGCTTAGTTTAGTTTAGTTTAGTTTAGCTTTGTTTAGTTTAGTTTAGTTTAGTTTAGTTTGAGTTAGTTGAGTTGAGTTTAAGAGAGTTAGTTTAGTTTAGTTTGAGTTGAGTTGAGTTTAAATACATGCTAGTAACATCGCTATATTACAAATTGGTACAGGAAATTGCACAGCTCGAGAAGTATAAATGAAAAATTGAACGCGTGTTTAGCATAGTATTTGTAACAAATGCTATTTTTCATTAATTCTTCGAGAACAAGTGCAATCTCCTATTAATACCAATATAGTGAATTTACGAGTGGCCAAAGGTACTAAAGCATTCTTTATTTTACAGTAGGTTTCAAGATAGAACACTGTACGCGTCTTTACCTTCATTCAATTTTAATATTTTTTGACATATATTTTCAGTCCATTTTCAGCAATTTCTATTTCGATATGTATTCCAATGTGCAACTTCTTTGAGCACATCCTGTAGGGATGGATGACAAAATAGAAAAGTTGAAATATTTCAGCAAATGTTACATGTTCTTGATTCCTAATTCCGTTTTAAAAGGACATATGGATGAATCATGCTATGGCAGAAATCAGGCTATGGCAGAAAGTTACTTACACCTTTTTAGGTTATTTTTTGCTATTATCATGCCAATCGTGCAGAATGCATTCGAGCGTTGCCAACTGTTATTTTGTAAAAGTACCAAGTATGGTCCAGCCTCTGCGCAGTTTGCTCCTCAGGCCTCGCTCGTCGTGTTGCCAAAAACGAAATCGAACATCAATATGCAGCTCAGTACGGTAGTTTAAGGCAGTCTAAAGTCCCTAGGGTAGTCTCACCCTCGTACCCAGGACCTGCTGCTAAAAGCAAAATCCAAATTCTCCCAGATTTTGGGAGTATTTTTGAATCTCATTAGAAATTATGTGGCTATCAGGGTGGTTGAGCAACCTAGAACCTAGAGTCTGCTGTTTTCAACACCCCTCCCCTGATAGTCATCATAATTTTTCAGGAGATTCAAAAATACTCCCAAAATCTGGGAGTATTTTGATCAGCTTTTACCAGGGCCTTCGCCCTTAGCAGCAAGCCCTGGGTACGAGGTTGAGGTAGTCTAAGGTAATTTATAGGTAGGCTATGGTATGCCTAAAAGGTATGCAAAGGGACGCAAGGTAGTCGTAATACACTAATGTTGCGCTCTGTTAAACTAAGGCCTGTTTCAAACGTCGCATTTTGCATGCATCGAATACAATTCTAATTAGATTCGACCCTAAAACAATAATCCGACCGTCATTTCAAATGTCGCATTTCGCATGTGCTGAATTCAAATAGTTGCGGGCTCTATTCCTTATGATCAGCGACAGTCCGCTTGGGCGTAAATAAAAAATGTCATATTTCTAGAAATCCTTTTCTTTCTATTATTTTCCTAATACTCTTGCCTAAATATATTGCACTTTATGCAATATCCAACTGCTTCCCAGCCGCTTCTAGAAAGCCAGCCAGCCTTGGGATTCCTCGTTTTGTTCGTGTACTGCGCAACCATTACAAACAGACGCGGTAGGCAAATGAATTTTGTCAACTTTCATGCACACGTAATACAATACGTTCTATTACTACGTTGTTCTGGTTCATTTCTTTTGTCTACGGCCTCCATATTTCCTTACTTGTGCCTTTCAATATCATAACATGCATGACGTTCTTTGCCTTTTTCTTCAAGCGAATTGAATTCAACACATGCAAAATGCGACCTATGAAACCACGTCGCATCCAGCTCGCATAATGCGACCGGAACAGTCGAATTTAGCATCACGGTCGACCGCAATTAAAAACAGCGAATTCAATTGTTTCATACGTCGCATCTCGCATGCAGATAATTCAAACAATTGTATTCGACACATGCGAAATGCGACGTTTGAAACAAGCCTAAGGGCCTGTTTATATGATCCCGCCTAGCCGGGACGGGACAGTTTCCGAGATCCCGCTTGTAATACAAACACTAATTAGTGTTTATATGACCACTTTTCCATCCCGCCTAGGCGGGATCCCGGCACTTCTTGCCGGGATCCCGCTTAGACGGGACGAGAAATTGCCATATAAACACTCCATCCCGCTTGCCCGGGATGATTCGCAATTAACATACATTAAGAGCATGGGTATATATTGGCATATTCGTTTTCTACAATAAAACATGCCGTCGAAGGAACCTGCACTACAAAATGAACTGCATATAAACACGCCATCCCGCCTAGGCGAGTTTCCCGGCTAAGCGAGATGAAAACATCCCGTCCCGGCTAGACGGGATCATATAAACAGGCCCTAAGTGTAATGCATTTGCTTGCCGCTGATCAAATAGACCACGGATTCATTAAGCACTTCGCGCTTTTTTTCCGCGGATTAGAAACCTGATTGATAAATAAATTTATTAATTTAATTTAAATTTCAAATTAATCAAATATAAAGTACAGTACGTTGGAATTTTCATTCGAAGGTACGTATTACATTTACGAAGTGAATCATTTTAATAGCAACTGAGTATAGCCAAAAAATGAATTCACCTGTTTTGGGAAGAGTCCTAAATGCATTAAGAGATCAACAGGCAACAGCTGTGTGTATAAAGTACCATCATGCCATGTCTTAATGGCTATCATGGTGCTTTTGAATTTGAAATTTCTGTTGTGTTCAAATTTTGGGTATTTAATATGAACCCATTTATAGCTTGCAAAATCTGCCTACTGTAGTGTATGTGTTTTACTACATCTATTGTTAAAATATTATTGTTAAAATATTGGCTAATATTTTAGAAGCATGGGAAGACATCTAAAAGAAAAACGACGCCAATACAAGCAGAACCGTAGGGAAAGGTTGAACAAGAAGAAAAATTATGTGTTTATAGAAGTCAATAAAGATGATAAAAAACATGAAGAGAGAGATGAAATTGAAGCAGCACAATTGGGTAATGATGTTGCAATTGGCAATAAAACTAGTGCCAAAGAGATGGATAGGAATGTAGCAAAGGATTGGTTATACATGAATATGATCAAATATTTTAAGAAAAAGAATGGATTTCTGAAGTTTAGGAGAGCTATGGAAAAACCAAAAGAGGGTGAATATTGTAGTGGGTAAGCACTGTGTGGTTCATGTAAATTGCAAGAACAATTAGCAGAGCTGTGGCAGTAGATAAACATTTTAAGTTAATATAGTATATTTTGATCTTTTTTAGTGAGTGAATGCTATTGTGTATGGTAGTTACAGTAAATTCAATTTAGCTCTGTGATAGTGAGTTAATCTACATTACTTTTGAAACTGAGAAATTTTTTAATGCGAATAAATAGGCTGAACATTGCCATCAAGAAGGTAATATTGTTCAATGTAGGCATATCCATTATACAAATCTCACTAACTTTAAGCTTTTGGATTGACTTATGCACAAACAAGATCTTTAAACTGCTGGGTTGATTTGGAGTGACCATTTTGTGAGATCTTTAAAGAGACCTTTGTCAGTGAGTGACTGTTATTGTGTAGTTAAATTCAATTTAGCTCCATGATAGTGAGTTAATCTACATTGCTTTTGAAATTAAGAAATTTTATAATGAGAATAAACAGACTGAACATTGCCATCAAGAAGGTAATTGTTCAATGGAGGCATATGCATATACAAATCTCACTAACTATTAAGCTTTTGGATTGAGACATTGAGTTACGCACAAACAAGATCTTTAAACTGCTGGGTTGATTTGGAGTGACCATTTTGTGAGATCTTTAAAGAGACCTTTGTCAGTGAGTGACTGTTATTGTGTGGTTAAATTCAATAAAGCTCCATGACAGTGAGTTTTTCCACATTGCTGAAACTGAGAAACTTTCTAATGAGAATAAATAGGCTGAACATTGCCATCAATAAGGTAATTGTTCAATGTAGGCATATATATGCATTATATATACAAATCTCACTAACTATTAAGCTTTTTGATAGACTTATGCACAAACAAGATCTTTATAACTACTGGGTTGATTTGGAGTGACCATTTTGTGAGATATTTAAAGAGACCTTTGTCAGTGAGTGACTGTTATTGTGTGGCTAAATTCAATTTAGCTCCTTGATAGTGAATTTTTCTATTTTCTTTTTTGAAATTGAGATATTTTTGAGAATAAATAGGCTGTAGCCAACAGGAATGTTAACTGTTGAATGTAGGCATATGCATGTATGTATCTTTACACATTTTCATTAACTGTTATGCTTCTGGATGAACTTATAAAGAATGAAGAGACCTCTGTCAGTGAGTGAGTGTTATTGGGATGTTAAATTCAATTTTGCTTCAAAATGCTACGTACGTGATAGTGAGTGTTTTAAAATTCCTTTTGAAACTGACTTGAGAGAATTTATAATCATGAGGCTACTAGTCTGAGAGCAGGTATTTTGAATACGCGAATTCGTCTGCGGGCTTCAGACACTAAATTTGAGATTGCGTCCAGGAATCTCAATATAATTTATTGCTTATTTAATTCTATTTGTCTGCAAAGTAAGCTTCAGCAAATATGAATGTTAACATTTACATGTTGTTTACACGAAAGCAAATACCATATTTACACAAATTTGTCCATCCTGGCAAATTTTGTGTTTGCGTCGAATTTGCAATATGGGAAAATATGCGTAAAAGTACTACATATTTACTTGTGGTGGCAAATATATGTCAAATATGCACAAACTTTACCTTTACTTTACTGCGTAAATTTGGCCCAAAATATTAGTAAATATAATATTTACGCATGTTTATTTTGCATTTACTATGAATTAAACATTCTAGTTTACTGATATTTAACCATCAAGTAAATATATTTCAAAAATAGTTCTCCATATTCACACCATATTTACATTTAAAGTAAACTAAAGTTAATCCAATTTTTCGTCCAGTGAATGTTTCATTGTTCGCTGTCCCATTTAATTGATGGTGTTGTATCATCCTAAATATTCTAGTTTTGCGAAAAGCATT